TGAAATTTTGTACAGTAATTAAAACCCCGACAAATTTTCAATCTATTAACTCAAAATATGATTACAGCTTTTAAATTTTGTGCGCGAGCCATTTTTAGTTTGTTGGGAAAGACACACCCCCCTGGTTCACAGAATTTGAGTTCGAGAAATTTTTTTCATTATTTTACATTATAAGTACCCAAAGAAGCTATATATATAAAAAACCAGATACAAATAGGTGTTTTGCGAAATTGAGAGCAATTTCAGATCTGTTCAGTTTTTTTTGATACACCCTGTATATATATACATACATATATATACATACATATATACATATACATATACATATACATATACATATACATATACATTATATATATATATATATATATATATATATATAAGGTGAGGACATTAACCATTTCAAAGAGGAAGTATTTTTATACAATTTTCTTGTTCGTTTATAAAATTTGGGTTTAAAGTAAATATTTTAGCGATTTTTGATTTTTTACTTAATTTACCTAATTTTTCGAGACCGAAAAATGGCAAAATTTAGAGTGGAAAAACATTCATTGGACTTCTGCTTTGATGTTTAAAGCCATATCCACACGAAAGAGCAATGTTTTGTCTTCAATTTAGTAGAAAATATTTTTGGGCTATTGAAACTACGGTTTTTGGGAACGCCAAACGCAAGTGGCCTTGAAGCTAAAAATAGCTTTTCAAGTTACATTATCTAAGTGCAATTAATCTATGACAACCAAAAGTAAAAATATTTAATCAACTTCCGGTGAAAATTATTTGCTTTAACTGAGATCTAACTAGTATATCAATAACATTGTGTAGTGATTCCTGATAATTTTGTGTGAAATTAATCTTAAAGAGGCTGAAAACTGTAAACAAACGCTTTGTTTACATTTTGAACTGCTATATTTGTAAAATATGATATACTTTAAACTGAATATCTAACACTTCTCGGGTTCGCTATGCTTGTAAATGAATATAAACTCTAGCTATGTTACCCTGGGTGCCAGAGGTTCTTCCCCGCTCGTAATGGGGGATAATAAAGGATAGATGGGGATAAAATATGGCAATTAGGCGAGCGGGAAGAACCTCTGGAACACTTGTGCGGTTTCTATGATGATGCCGCACCAATCAGGATACTTAATATTGAAAAGTGATCCAGAATTTGGATCAAAGTGTTGATTGGTTTACAGAAACAATAGCTTATATTTCTTCATTTACATACGATTTACATAAATTTAAATATGTCTTTAATTACCCAAGACGATTTGGAATACGTGGTCGATATGGTTTTGAAATCTTTTACTGGTGTAGAAAAACTAACCCAACATCAAAATGATGCCCTGTTTGAGTTGCTTCGTTGTCGTGATGTCTTTGCTATATTGCCAACAGGCTTTGGAAAGTCTGTTATCTTTCAACTACTGCCGTCATTGTGCCGAGAGCTTAACCCTGGAGAACCCAAGACATATTTTATCATTAGAAAAAAAAATTATTAGTCTAAAAACTAACAAAACAGGCTAGATAAACTATAAAAATATGTTTTGGGGATTTTCGTCAATTTGCCCCCAATTTAGGACTCGGGTCATATGTGACCCACTGGGTCTTTCTTTGATATTTACTGTCACTACTAGATTATATAAATGTCAGAGTTTGAACAAGAATATTTTTCTGTTATGATGCCAATGTCTAAGGCATTGAAAGGAGGCACTAGTAAAACATACTAGCTTCAGTAGCTTGTCATACAGTACATACAAAGTTACTATACTACTACTTTATATGATACAGTTTGTAGCAATTTCTGCGCTCGTTGAAACACAGAGGAACATCGCATTTCTCACAACACATATCAGTTTTGATGGTTTTCCAAACTGCACAGCGACGATGCTAGTCTCCTTTTACTGGCCAGTGTGCAATTTGGTCGAAACGTGCATCTTCATATGGCTCGACACGGGCGATGTTTGCTCATCAAGAGATGGTCTACCCCGACGTTCTGGTGGTTCCACGCTCAATCAGTGCTTGTGCAACCTTGGACTGGAATTGGCGCAGTTTCGTCACACTCTTGCCTGTGATTCCCAGTAGGGAACAGTCACGTTTGTACAGGAGCCATGCATTGATTACGCCAATACTGGTGAAATGCCAGAAGAGTATAAGGTACCATCTCCGCGTTCGAATGGAATACTTACATCGGGAGATGTGTGCATCCAGCATATCCACACCACCCATGTGAGTATTGTATTCTCTGATGATGTATGGGCGGTCAACGTTGGTGTAGTCTTTCTTGCTCTTGTCCCAGCTGTCCGACAGGCTTTGTCCATAGGCTCAGGACCAGCATAGTTTGACACGAGGGTTACTGCTTTGGAATCCTGCTATCTAACACACATGGTATTGGTCTTTGATTCTACTCTAAAATCATGCGATCCTCGTCCTTTCTTCTTCAAGGCATTTTCCTCCAAGACATTGCACTTTGCGAGACGGTTCTTTCTCACTGTCCCAGCGTAAAGGAATTCGTCTTCTGACAATTTCTCTATCAGTTCAACTGAGGTGAAGAAATTATCAGCATATATCTTGTGCCCTACATCTTTTAGAAGAGTTCCACACAGTTTTGCAACAACATCTCCTCCAATGCCCAAACACATTTGCTCCTTTATCTCCACCTTTTCCCTGATAAACATCAAAGTCATGAAGGAGTCCATGCACAGAGCATCTAGCCCATACTTTGAAGCCTCATGGATGCAGCTTACCCCTTACATACTGCCGTATATTCCCAAATTTGCCTTTGTAGGGTACCATAATTTCATCAATGGACTGATGTTCTGCAGGGGTAGTCTGAAGGCACCGAGCTCGGAACATGTCCAGAAATGGTCAATTTTCCAAAGGCGATCTTTTCTTGGTTTCCTCTGACCCAGTTTCATTGTCCACAAAATGAACCAGAGAAAGAAGTAGCTGGAATCTATTCCTGCTCATAACTTCTGTAACTGGAGGGTATCTGGTTTCTTTTTCCCGGTACATCCGTATTGAAGGCATCTCAACAAGGCCCATTTTGAAGTACATGCCCAGTACTTGTTCAATTTCTTTCGCAGATGTATTTACACATTTACCCTGCTTTTGGACACTGTATCTGTTAGTATAATCCACTATCAGTTCTATCATTTCTTGTGTCACAAAGCGCTTGAAGTAAAGTAAGGGTGTCTCTGTTTTTCCAGTTGGATCGGTTGGTTCAACTATTTCACCCTGAAATTTATCTTGGGGTGCTACGAAATCTTTTTTTCACCATGTATATTTTGTCTTGGTTTTCCCTTTGTGGCGCTGGCCAATAATATTTGTGCAAGAAGTACATCCTCATCACCACTGGATTCGTCATTCACTTCTGATAAGTGTTCATGGTCACTTTTAGAGTAACTACTCTCTAAATTATCAATATTACCTGGGTCATACACTTCCTGGGTCATACACTTGGGCCATCTAGGCTTACATCGCTAGCATCAACATCAATTTCATCTATAACTTGCTCAACAGGAATACAATCTCGCTTACTGCGGCTAGGCCATGATAAACTGAATCATGAAAAAAGAAAACAGACACTATAAATAAAAATGTTTTGTAGTTCTATATTATGTATATTCATATTTTATCTCTGAAAACAGAACCTTTATATTTGACCTAAACTATAAGTCTACAAAACCCTCACCAAGTTGGTGTGAAGTTGGGAAGACTGCTTTGATATATATGCTAAGTCCTGCATTATACTTTATCACATTTCAAAAATCTGACCCCTGACAAAAATGTCCACAGTGACCCAGTGGGTCATATGTGACCCGTCGATTTTACAATTTGCTGTATGCATCACAAATTTACAAAAGCTCGCCAAAATATGTTTTACTTGTTCACTAATAACTCATCCTTTAGTTCCAGTCATAAAAATATATGTAACTTACTTCTTTATGGCTTGATTATTCCTTGAAAACCGCAATTCGAAATTACTAAACTCACAGTGAAAATCGCCATGTTTGTTTCGAAAATTCCAATGACATAATTTTACAAATTCGTCACCAGATCACTTTTTCGGGTGGGTCATGTGTGGGAATCTGGGTTTTAGCGGGAAATAATAATTATCATCAAACATGTCACTAACAATGGGCTTTTCAATACAGTGGGATCTTAATTTCATGGGGTACAATAGTTTCCTGGAGAATGCAATAGGGTTGGTAATATGTCCACTTGTCGCACTGATTGAGTCGCACATGAACAAATTAAGTAAACGAGGAATTTTGTGTGCTTGTGTGTCTGGCGAACAAGCATGTCAAGACAAGAGTGGTGTACTATACGGCAAATATTCATTTGTTTTTGCCAATCCAGAGAGTATTATCATGAACGAGAAATGGCGAGATATGCTGCAAAGTTTGATCTACCACGAACATCTATTTGCAGTAGTCAGGGCCGTCGCGAGCGGGGGGGTGTGGGGGGGTGCTTCACCCCCCCCCCAATAATTTTCGCAAGTCGGCCCCAGTCGGCAAATTGCTTCGTTACTGTTCGGCAAATTGCGAATTCGGCATTCAGTAAATTGTAAAAGTTAAGAACGAAGGCGATAAATAAAGCGATAAATTTTGGATTTAAAATAATGGTTTGTGTGGCCTTATACCATTTAAATGTATTTCTATTTTCTATTAATACTATTAGTCTTTTATTTGTCGAAAATCGACGGGAGGCTGAAATGTGAAACCCAAGTTTCCGGGCATGTTCTTCGCTCGACTATAGCGAAGGCTCTTTATCAATTATGCGCGGTTCAAAACCCGAAAGAAAAAGAATAAAACTGTAGTGTCTTGAATGTAAGTCGATTTTTGACGACTATTGAAACTTTATTATTTATTTCACGAGGGAAAACGTATTAACCATAAAAGTTATCTAACATACGGCCCGACAATTACCGTAAGAGGCACTGACGAGCAAATTTGCCATAAGGGAAACCGAGTGCGAGTAGCACATAAAGACATACCGCATACAGCGATCGGTATCATTGATCGGTTGCATATGATCATATCCGTTTTACTCGCTTTCTGACGCATAAAGTTTAAACTCTTGGAAAATCGGGTCGTACAAAAGCCCAGTTAACACTATCCGGCACTAAGAGTTTTAAGACTGCTCAAAATACAAAAAATATGCGCCTGGGGATAAAAAAGGTCAAATTCATCAAATTGCCATGAAAATATTGAAACAAAATATCAATGCAATCACATGCAGATACTTGGATACCCTGGTTCCAGAGGTTTATTCTTATTATTTTCATTGCGAAGGGGAGAGGAAAATAAACCTCTGGTTGAAAGCGGCAATTGATTCATTGAGCTGCGCCAATCAGTTTGAATTAGCTAGGGTCAGATCCTGACTCTGTCTCCTGACTGGATGATTGTATTAAAGTTCTCTGATTGGTTCAAATAGAACATCTATAACCAATCAGAGAGCTTTAATACGATCATCCAATCAGGAGACAGAGTCAGGATCTGACCCTAATTCAAACTGATTGGCGCGGCTCAATGAATCAATTGCCGCTTTCAACCAGAGGTTTATTTTCCCTCTCCACTTCGCAATGAAAATAATAAAAATAAACCTCTGGAACCAGGGTAATACTTGGATAACTTTTCTGACTTTGCGGAGATGCGCGTCTGCACCACAGTCTAAGACACTCGTTACTCAGACTATATGCACACGGTACCGTCTCCGAGCGTTTTTCGGTTTTTGGTTGTAATTAATGCGTTAATTTCTGAAACTGAAAGTACCATTTTCACGTACGTTCTGTTCACACGAAAACGTATGAAAACGACGTCAGGAAGCAAAAACGTTTCAAATAGTGAAAACGATGCCAAACATTCGTTCTCTATGTCTGAAACGTTTGGTCGTTTTGGCACTTTGTTATTGTGTAAACAGAAAAGTAGAAGGCGAAAATGAAAATCGGAAATTCCGTGTTTGAATTTGGAAACGAAGACTATAAAAAACTAGTGCTTTGTCAGAAAATGTTGCGAGAAAAACGATCAATATGAACAAGGCGCC